TTCATTAAACATGGATACTGTCTATATCGAGTGACTCGGTAAATGACATTTGGAGCTCAGCTTTCTTAGTTGATCTTTGTTTGGGCTACAATATGAAGCTGCCGTATATGTTTTCTAGTGAACACACATTTTGGTCGAAGTTTTGTTTCTCACACTCAGCGTTAATTAAAGACGGGCTGCCACAGATGTTGCAGTGTACTCGGCCAGCTCTATTGGTTAGATTTGTACCCTCAATTTATAATATGAACGCTTTGAATGCAAGCTTTGTGTGACGAGAAGAATACGGAGTTTTGTTCCCTTTGAATCATTTCGATTTCACTTACATAGACAGTTTTATTGCTCCCACCCATCATGCATTCATTAGTTGTGTTGTTGGCGGCTCATTTGGCTCCAAAACTTCCAGTCGATCGATAATTTTGAGAGACAGATAATTTAAAATCATAAACTGGTTTGAAGATGTGAGAAACCGAAACCACCTTGGAGTTTGGAACCTGTTGTGACATTGTCAGCGTGCTTAATTAAAAAGACCATCTGGGTTAGTGGAGAGGTCAGGAATATAGAGAGAGAAAACAAAGGGGGACAGAATTGCTCCTTGAAGCACCTCTGAGTTGACTGGTAGGGAGTCAGAGGTTTTTTCAAAAAAATCGTGAATTGTGCTGTATCAGAAAAATAATCTTGGAGTAGACAGAGGGTATTATGGGATAATTCAGCACATTGGAGTAGAGACAAAAACCGGCTCCTGTCAACACAGTTAAAAGCATATCTATAGCCGAGGAAACACACGGAATGCCCTGTCGTGCATGTCTAGGGATCGCAAAACTGAGTTTGCCAAATACGCAAGAGTATCTAAGGTAGCACATTGTTTGCAATAAGTGAATTTGTTGTCATCTAGCTGCCCAGTGAAATTAATGTTACTAAGCGTAACCTTTTCGAAAATGTTTAGTAAAATAGAAATACAGGCGATTGGTCGTAGTTTCCCAACTTCATTTTGGAGGACTGGTGTGACTCACACAGGTCTCCGGCAGCCGACAATTTTTTGTTTCTCGAAGCAGCAGTTGATAATACCGGCAACTGGCTCTGTCAGATAATGCGCACATTCCCTGAGGACGCCTGGACATAGTCCGTCGGGACCGGAAGCTTTTGATATTATAAGGTACTTCAAGTGTGCCTGCACCTGATTAGAATTAAAATGTGAAACTTAATAATGGTCAACTGATTGGAAAAGATGATACGATACTTCAGTTTCAGTTGACGTAGAAAACATGCAGTTGAGTTCATCTGCTGTGGGTTGAGGCCCGCGTAGTCTGATTTTTGTTTAACAGAATTTTTCATAGCACTCCAGATTTATTTGCGATTACGGTCACCAAGAAGGGTTTCAGTGTAGAGCTTATCAAGATTTTGAATCACATTGTTGATCAGCACTNGAGAAGAAAATCTGACTCGACCGATGTACATAGGGGCTATGGGGCAGCGGATGTCAAACCAGAAGTTCAAATCGCTTGTGAGGTGTTCGCACTCGACCGAACTGATCAAAATTTGTACGAGAGACCATTTCTCTCAGTGATGCCAAGTGGGCCGGGTCGCACAGTCTATGAAAACTCTTCCGGCTAGATGTACTTGTCAGTGTACTATGGCGTTTCTTTGAGTAGACTTTTGGCAAAACATTTATGATACAATGATCGGAGGTTGCCAGAGGGGCTCCTCTTCGCAGAGCAAACAGGTCAGGATCGTTCGAAAACATAAGGTTCAGCTGCGCGTTCCCCCTGTGGAGAAAGCTACAAGATTGTCTAGAGAGACACTAGTCAAGAAATGAATATCTGCGTGGTTAAAATAACCAATGGCGATAAAAAAGAGCGTTTCGTGAGGTTGGAAAGTTTAAATATAAATAAATCAGCGAAAGCCTGTACGTCAGAAGTTGTACCGGGGGCACAATGTAAAGAATAATGATACGGTAGAACGATATTTACCAATAAAATGAGGTTTAAATTCAACCAAATTACACGAGATATATCCTACGTTGTAGGTGAAGATAACCTTTATAGACTTGCACCAAGAGGATCGGGTGTAGGTCATTAGACCACCGACAGATTTCGTAGTAATCAGTTTCTATCCAACCGATGCATATCAAAGAAATCCAGCTCAAACAAAGACTCGTTGATGTTAGGATGCAACCACGTTTCTTGCAGCATGGTATTTTTCATCCCTATCAGTTTCGTGAAGTCGCTCGTTTTTCCAAATAGTTGTCGTATCTTTGATGAGCAGATAGCATGAATAGATGTTTTCTGAGGTTTTGTGTTACGTAAAGCCGCTTGCTAGCCTACTCGGTGTTTTCTGAGGAAACCTGGTCCAGACGGTCTACATTTTTTTAATCTATTTTTACCTTGACGACTGAACTGATATAGACTGCCACTCTTGCGTGATAACACAATGTTTCAAATTCTTCAAAGATTCCGGGGCGTACGTAATCATGAAAGCGATGGAAGAAATTTGATTCAAACAATTAAATCCAATGTGTTACGCAAAATTGATAAATTATCCACTGGAGCACAACTCTAGCACGCCCGAAATTTGAAGGCTCTACAATCGAATGTGCCTAGCTTACGGTACTCGTCCTGTAGCTGTGCGAACGGCATACGCGGGAAACCTCATTTTGACTAATGCCTGTGAATTATGGTTAAAAAGCTTCATTATCTTGTTATCGAGAAGTTTGTGCATGATCGCTAGTTTTTAGTTCACTCAACGAAAACCATTACTGAAACCAACAAGTGTTTCTGTTAATAAAATATGCTTTTAATTTTACCCACTCTTTTTAGCAAGTTAAATTTACAAAATAAAATAAAACTGATGACAAATGGATACAACATGTGTTCAAATGTTTTCATCAAAACACTTTTGGACTTGGCTCAAATCGATGCAACATTTTTTTACTGCTCTTTTTACAGTTCCAGTTCAAATTCGACCAACGTTGAGAAACGAATCGAAGTGGGCCCGTTTCCAGACGCGTCGGAACAACCTCATCTACCGCTTGTACAATGGTCCCCTCAAAACAATTTTCTGGTCAGTTCCAATCAAATAACTGTGAACATCATCAGTGGTACAAAGCGTCACGTGATTGTCCGACCGACATTACAACCGGTTGTTTTTCTCAGTTGATTGACTTCAGAACTCAAGACGATTTCGAATTGAATATTTCATCCAAAAAGAAGTTATTAGGAAACCATGTGGGTAATAAGATGACGTTTAGGAGATGGTTTCGCACAGATCGAACATGAATCCTACGATATAATTAGGGAACTAAACTTGCTCCAATCGATGCAAACGTATCACTTTTTATCAAATGACTGCTTCTCTGATGTTCTCTCTCTACGGTCTCCGATTGGGTTTTATTTTACCTTCAGTCAATGTGTGTCAACATTGGCTATTATTCCGATGCATGATCAAGCTCAATTCATATCCAGTAGCAGTTTGAGGATTCTTGATTGTTCGTACTTCAATCGTAAAGAGGTCACTCAAATGGTACATCATACACTTTTAGGCATCTCAATTGGCTGTTGTTGTACTTAAACCAAATGGATCAGTATATTCTTTTGCTATACTATGTTATATTAGTCTTAAAATTTGGGTAATAATCTACTGAAGAACCAAGAATGTTTCACTTATCGAAATCAGATGGTATTACTTGTAGTCTGTCGCAGCCCGCTGTATTCTTCTGCGTGTAAATTATTGCAGGTTCATGCCTGAATCTTGAACATGCAGTCTTAGGGTCTTTGGTGTGTACCTCGCCACATGGTTTCTGAAATGTTTTGTGTCCGAACATGATTAAGCCCGGAGAAGGAGTCATATCCATCTTTTGGCGTAATCCCATCGATCACTGGAAGGCCATACTAAGGCACAGTTAATACAGTACTCCATCTTCTATTAGCTTACGGCGAAAACTGATTGAATTCGCTGTTCTTTCATTTGTGAGTTACTCAATAATTTTATGCTTCAATGAAAGTAAAGCTTACCAAGTTCTAGGCATGGATAACAGACAAAGACAAAAGGAAAGAGTTTTATCGCAGCTAATAATATATATATATATATATATATACAGTACTGGCCGATTGTGATGCACTAAAATATTTTCTTTATGATCAAAGGGAGTTGGATTATATTTATCACCCATAATAATATATATATATATATATATAAATTTCACTCGTTGTTCGAGTTCCTGCAAATTCACATATATCGACGTGTGTGTGTGTGTGTTGGTCTTATACAACTCCATACTTTGTTTGCATTAAGAGACAGGAGATCTGCTACTGCCGTCAAACGAACGTGGAAATCAGACTCAAAATATTGCAGATGCAATCTTTTTTCAGTGTGATGAGAACATCTCTAAGTCCTACTGCTGATAAGAAAAATAGAAGCAGATATGATTGCACACAGACGAACTAAACAGTCTGGAAAATGAGGGAAAATAATTTGATGGTAATTATAAATCAACTAGGTTGCCGTCAACGGATCTCATCTCACAAAACACAGAAGTTTTGCTTCACTTTAAGAATATAGAAACGAATTCGATCAGCATACTGTTTCTCACGTGCGAGTGTCCACTTAAAATGTAAACAGGTGAAAAATTGGATTTTTTTTCTGTAGCCAAGAATTACGTCCCGTACACTTCAGAACCAGCTTTAAATCAATACCCCGAACGGGAACTTTAGCTTTATTTCATTTAATCTGTCGCTTGATGCTTTTTCTTTCGAAGATTTTATTGTTGCACTTCGGTTTAAATTGTTTGCACCTTGTTGTTGTACCAATATGTTGCGTCTGATATGAGGCACTATCATAATCAATCCCATGAATGACGCTGGAAGCGCTAAGTGTCCGCAGGAACGCATCTGATGAAGGTCAGGTTGAGCACGAGTTTGGTCCATAGCTGTGAATTGTGACTACATATGCAGCACATTTTTCCTATTTACATGTACGGCATTTTGCTTTACATTTGCCGGTTTTAGTCATTCACCTTCAACGGACACATTTATATACACAAGTATCCATTTGATTCCGAACGATCAACAATAGTGAATGTGACCAGTGGCATGCCGGATGACGATATTCTCTATGGAGAAGCCGATTGGTTGTACGAAGGTCAGTGATTATCTTCAAGCTTCTTCCACATGCTTCATCAATATATATATATATATATATATATATATATATATATATATATATATTGATGAAGCATGTGGAAGAAGCTTGAAGATAATCACTGACCTTCGTACAACCAAT